GATACTCTCAATAGATGCTGCAAAAGCATTTGACAAAGTACAGCATCCCTTCCTGATCAAAACTCTTCAAAGTGTAGGGATAGAGGGCACATACCTCAATATTATCAAAGCCATCTATGAAAAACCCATCGCAAATATCATTCTCAATGGAGAAAAACTGAAAGCTTTTCCTCTAAGGTCAGGAACATGGCAGGGATGTCCGTTATCACCACTGCTATTCAACATAGTACTAGAAGTCCTAGCCTCAGCAATCAGACAACAAAAAGAAATTAAAGGCATCCAAATCGGCAAAGAAGAAGTCAAACTATCACTCTTCGCAGATGATATGATACTATATGTGGAAAACCCAAAAGACTCCACTCCAAAACTGCTAGAACTTGTACAGGAATTCAGTAAAGTGTCAGGATATAAAATCAATGCACAGAAATCAGTCTCATTTCTCTACACCAACAACAAGACAGAAGAAAGAGAAATTAAGGAGTCCATCCCATTTACAATTGCACCCAAAACTATAAGATAGTTTATAGGAATAAACCTAACCAAAGAGACTAAGAATCTATACACAGAAAACTATAAAGTACTCATGAAAGAAATTGAGGAAGACACAAAGAAATGGAAAAATGTTCCATGTTCCTGGTTTGGAAGAATAAATATTGTGAAAATGTCTATGCTACCTAAAGCAATCTACACATTTAATGCAATTCCTATCAAAGTACCATCCATTTTTTTCAAAGAAATGGAACAAATAATCCTAAAATTTATATGGAACCAGAAAAGACCGCAAATAGCCAAAGGAATATTGAAAAAGAAAGCCAAAGTTGGTGGCGTCACAATTCCGGACTTCAAGCTCTATTACAAAGCTGTCATCATCAAGACAGCATGGTACTGGCACAAAAACAGACACATAGATCAATGGAACAGAATAGAGAGCCCAGAAATAGACCCTCAACTCTATGGTCAACTAATCTTCGACAAAGCAGGAAAGAATGTCCAGTGGAAAAAAGACAGCCTCTTCAATAAATGGTGTTGGGAAAATTGGACAGCCACATGCAGAAAAATGAAATTGGATCATTTCCTTACACCACACATGAAAATAGACTCAAAATGGATGAAGGACCTCAATGTGAGAAAGGAATCCACCAAAATCCTTGAGGAGAACACAGGCAGCAACCTCTTCGACCTCAGCCGCAGCAACATCTTCCTAGAAACATCGCCAAAGGCAAGGGAAGCAAGGGCAAAAATGAACTATTGGGATTTTATCAAGATCAAAAGCTTTTGCACAGCAAAGGAAACAGTTCACAAAACCAAAAGACAACTGACAGAATGGGAGAAGATATTTGCAAATGACATATCAGATAAAGGGCTAGTGTCCAGAATCTATAAAGAACTTAGCAAACTCAACACCCAAAGAACAAATAATCCAATCAAGAAATGGGCAGAAGACATGAACAGACATTTCTGCAAAGAAGACTTCCAGATGGCCAACAGACACATGAAAAAGTGCTCCACATCACTCGGCATCAGGGAAATACAAATCAAAACCACAATGAGATACCACCTCACACCAGTCAGAATGGCTAAAATTAACAAGTCAGGAAATGACAGATGCTGGCGAGGATGCGGAGAAAGGGGAACCCTCCTACACTGTTGGTGGGAATGCAAGCTGGTGCAACCACTCTGGAAAACAGCATGGAGGTTCCTCAAAATGTTGAAAATAGAGCTACCCTATGACCCAGCAATTGCACTGCTGGGTATTTACCCTAAAGATACAAACGTAGTGATCCGAAGGGGCACGTGCACCCGAATGTTTATAGCAGCAATGTCTACAATAGCCAAACTATGGAAAGAACCTAGATGTCCATCAACAGACGAATGGATAAAGAAGATGTGGTATATATACACAATGGAATACTATGCAGCCATCAAAAGAAATGAAATCTTGCCATTTGCGACGACGTGGATGGAACTAGAGGGTATCATGCTTAGCGAAATAAGTCAATCAGAGAAAGACAACTATCGTATGATCTCCCTGATATGAGGGAGAGGAGATGCAACATGGGGGTTAAGGGGGTAGGAGAAGAGTAAATGAAGCAAGATGGGGTTGGGAGGGAGACAAACCATAAGTGACTCTTAATCTCACAAAACAAACTGAGGGTTGCGGGGGGGAGGGGTTTGGGGGGGTGGGGTTATGGACATTGGGGAGGGTATGTTCTATGGTGAGAAAAAAAAAAAAGTTTAGCTTTGCCAGGATCTGCAAATGCCCTCAGGGCAAAAGCTGATTCTGTACTTATCTTCTCCCCATTTCCATTTTCCCTTTCGGCCTGGTATTTTCTTATTCTGTCAGGAGCTTAGTGATGTTAATATTCTTAGTATTTGATTCTGGATTTTTATTCCTTTTAGAGGAATGTTTGAATGACATACATTACCCATTATACCGATGGAGTTTTCAGTTTTAGTTTTATATATGTCATTTCTAAGAGTTTTATTTAGTTTATGGATATCTTCCTTCTTTAGTTTTTAAAGAATGATATAATACAGTTTTTAAATCCACAGCCAGTAATTGTAATATCTGAAATCTTTGCAGATCCAAGTCTGCCTTTCAGTTATTCTCCTGACTCTGCTCGTGATGCTGTTTCCTCTTGTGATTGTGAGGTCATGTAACTTCATCTGTGGAAATTCTTTAAGACTTGGATTGGAAGTACATTTTTACAGAGAAAATTTGCCTTAGCAGCTTTGGGATCCTGGGTAAACGTAGGGGCACTTCAAATTAAGTTTTGGTTTGGAACTTTTTTTAAAACACTGAAACACCATACATTCAGCTCTAGTTCATGCCTAAGGTCTAGTTTGTAATTACGATTTCTCAGAGGAGACATTGATTACCAGACTATAAGAAATGTATCATAGTGGACATAGTGGACATCACAGTTTTTGATTGTCATTTTCTTCCCTCCAGATCTCCTTTTCCCATTTTGTTTTCAGAGGTGGACCACTGGGGCTATAGTTCAGTGGTAGAGCATTTGACGGCAGAGGTGGACCACTAACACTTTCATTTCTACACAGATTTTCAGAATAGAACTTTTATTTTTTTTTTAAAGATTTTATTTATTTATTTGACAGAGATCACAAGTAGGCAGAAACGCAGGCAGAGAGAGAGAGAGAGAAAGAAGGAAGCAGGCTCCCTGCTGAGCAGAGAGCCCGATGTGGGGCTCGATCCCAGGACCCCAGGATCATGACCTGAGCTGAAGGCAGAGGCTTTAACACACTGAGCCACCCAGGCGCCCCCAGAATGGAACTTTTAAAAATATAAACCTGAAACATCATTTTGTTGCTTAACATCCTTCATAATTTTTTATGGTCTTTATGGCTTAGGAGCTATATACCTTTGAACAAGTCCTGTAAATCCTGTTATGATCTTGTCCTTATTATTTTTTCCTATCATATCTGCTTTGATTCTTCCCTCATACTTTAAGTTTCATGCTATTGAAATAAATTTCCTTTAGACCCCAGAATGTGTCATCTTGTCTCCATAATTTTTGTCTTTGTACATGCTCTTTCACCTGTGATACTTTTTCTCTCCCAACTCCCACTTACTCTTGTTAAATCTTACTGGCTTTCAAAATGTTTGAACTGTGCGGATACTGTGTGGAAGCCTTCCTTGAACTTACCTTCTCTATGTCAGCTTCCCCTTGGCTCTGTCTTCTGTTAATCTTTTTTGGCTTGGGTGCCCCCTCTCTATATTAATTTCCAGAATTTCTGAGTGAGTGTCCGTCTGTACTTACAATTGATTATTTGTCTGCTTGCCCAGTTACATTGTAAATACCATGAATTTTAAGGTCCAGTTTCTAGTATACACCATCATTACCATTGTCATAATAATCTATAACAATTATTGACTATATACTAAACACTGTTGTTAAACATTTTAGGTTGCATTATTTTGTTTAATCCTAATAACAACCTTTCAAGATATGAATAATTATCATTATTCCCTTTTTTCAGTTGAGAAAAGTGGAGACAGACTGGTTAGGTATCATGCCCAAGGTTAGGTAGCTAGTAAGAGGGCATAGAATAATTTGAACCCAGGGAAGAGAACATGAACTTCTTTTTTTTGTCCTGCTGTTTTTATGATGTTTAAAAGTGAATGCATATATACAGATAAAGCACATAGACTAGTACCTAACACTTAGTATTTAATAAACACCAGCTATAGAGTCAAAAGCTTTTTTAAAATAATATTTCAGCATATGAATATAATATTTAAATTATTTTTTAAAAGATTTATTTGTTTAAGAGAAAGGGAGAGAGAGAGAGAAAAAATGAGCAGGAGAGGCAGAGAAGAAGAAAGAATCTCAAGCAGACTCTATGCTGAGCATGGAGTGCAGTGCCAGGCTTCATCTCACAAACCTGAGATCATGACCTGAGCTGAAATCAAGAGTCGGATGCCTAACCAACTGTACCACCCAGGCGCCCCTGAGTGTAATATTTTAGAAAAATCTGAAACTCAAGGTGGGCAATGGAATAATTTCACCAGTAGGAGATAAATTACTTATAATATTTTTGTGTGTATTGTTTCCTTTCACATGCACTATTTATATAGATACTATTTAAACATGCCCTTTTTATTATGTAATGTTTTGTGAATATACATCCAAATTAGTGATTAATAAAGTCTGTCATCATTTGTAGTGGCTACATGGTTTACCATTATGTGTATGTACCATCATAATTTAATTTTATCTCCTGTTGAATATTTAGGTTATTTCCAATGTTTATTATTAAAAAATATAGGACCAAAAATCCTCATATATTCACCATTGAGTACTTGGGAGATAATAATCTTGAAAAATCATAAAAGTAGATGATGACCAATATCAGTGGACTTATATTTGCATAATTATACTTCATTTTAGAGTACCTCATGGAGGAAAAAATTATAACAATTTGCTTTCTTGTTATATATTTTTTATTAAGTAATACCAATCCACAACTCTCTTTTCTAGAATTACAGAATGAAAACTTAAAAGAATCAAATGAGAAGCAGGATCATTTGACATCAGAACTAGAAGATATTAAAATGTCTTTGCAAAGAAGTGTGGTATGATAAAAAAAACGATTAGTGTGTGACAAGCCTCACAGTATGAATCAACAGATATTTATTGAATGCTAATGCTATGGACAAGGACCCAGAACTTCAAATAGAGAAGATAAAATCCCAGCTTACAATCTGCTTATAGTTTAATTGAAAACATTGACTAAAAACACATCAGAAGTATAATTAAAATACAAGATCATGCTAGATGTCAATGGTGATTCAGGCAAAAATTGCTATAGTAGTTCTAAAAATTAAAAGAACACTGCAGGCAAGGAAGACTCCATTGGGAGGTTGGGACTATAGATTGGCTTTGGAAGAATGGTGTATTGAAATAAGAGTATTGAATGGGCATTTCAGATTGGTCAGTGTGGGGCAGTGGAGGGGGTTAATTGAATAAGGAGGGAGGGAGAGGCAGCAAATTATAGAAGCAGATGACTTCAGTTTTTTTTTTTTTTCTGAAGGCCCTTGGATTATAGCATCTATTTTGTACTTTGTTTTATTTAGAGTACTCAAAAGGCTTTAGAGGAAGATTTACAGGTAGCAACAAAAAAAATATATCAGCTCACTGCTGAAAAAGAAGCTCAAATGGAAGAATTTAATAAAGCTAAAGCTGGTCATTCATTTGTGGTTACTGAACTTAAAACTTCTATCTGCAACTTGAAAGAATTATTGACAACAGAACAACAAAGGTAAAAATTTTTTTTTATTTAGTTGAATAAAAACAACTTATTTGCAATATTCATTGTATTTTCATTGTCAACTGACTTCCTATAACATCTGTAAACAAGTCTCTCTCTTTTAAAAAAGATTTTATATATTTATTTGAGATAGAGAGAGATAGAGCATGAGTTGGGAAAGTGGCAGAGGGAGAGGGAGAAGACTCCCTGCAGAGCAGAGTGCCTGAAGTCGGGCTTGATCCCATGACCTGAGCTGAAGGCAAACGCTTAACCCACTGAGCCCTCCAGGCAACCCCCATGTGTTTTTTTTAATGTAAAAAGTGGGAATACATTTTAAAAGTTTGTATTAGGTAAGCAGGTATCCTGGGAAGAGACAGCATGTATTCTCTAGGATAGTTTCCATGCATACTTTGTCACAGACTCAAGTAGACAAGCTCATCAAGTGCTGATGCAGTGATAGGACATATTTAATTAAACTGTGGATTATTATTAGCTTCGTAGAAATAACTTCATAGGCTGTGAGTTTGTTTTACTGAGTTTGCTTTCTGTAATCTTTCTGATATATAAAATTAGTAACTAGCCTGGAACAGAGTAGGTTCTCAAGCACTTTTTATTAAATTAATGAATTAATGAATATGAGTAACTATAAAATATTCATTTGCATTTCATCTAAATAACAGCTCTTCTAAAATTGAATTAAAAACTTACCCTTTTTTCACTTTTTTATATTTGTATTTATAAAGCTGTGTTAAGAAGCCTAAGTGATTGTTTTTGTCCCATTAGCACTCGGGTTATTTAAGTCTGGTAGGATGAAAGAGAGGAACAAGCTTTTCTGTGAAGTCATGACCAGTATTTTTTCTTTACTGCTTATGTATGGTGGAGGAAGAAAAGCTAGATCTTCTAAAAAGCTCAGCTCATCTTATATATTCTTGGTTGCTCTATCCAAACAACTTTTAAAAATTTTGAAACTGTAAGTGATCTTAAATATCATTTGTTCCTATTACCTTAGTTTTATAGATAAGGAAGCAGAAAGCCGGAGGAATTAAGTGAATTGCACAATTCTCACATTTATATTGTTCCTAAGACAGAATTTGATGTAATAGTAGTTACATATTCAATCTCTTTCAAAGTTCTAAGACGCATTCATTTGATTATCATCAATAGCTAAGTGATAAATTGTCACCAAAAGCTTTAAGACTTTTGTGCAGATGTAATTAATATACAGCTATGTATTAATAATATCTAATTTTGAAGTGTTATGCTATATGGCATGGTAGGTACTCAAAAAAAGTTTCATAATTGAATGAGTGAATCTATGCAAGATATATTTTTAAACTGCACCAATTGTAGTTACTAGATGAATTCTGATTAAAAGAATGTTTTACATTATAAACTAATATATTTTACAAGATTGGAAAAAAGTGATGATCAATTGAGAATACTTACTGTGGAGCTTCAGAAGAAATCAAGTGAACTGGGTAAGATTTAGAGAATAACATGTGTACATGATAATATTAGCCAATTATAAAAACATTAACTATTTCAGAATAAAATACAGTTTCTCCTCGGTCATCTATCAATAATGATTATTTTGTAATTTTTAATTTGACTTTTCAAAGACAGAAAACTTAAACCTTAAGAAAGACTTAAGTTCCATTATGCAGTTCATAGATACCTAGAAGTGTAAGGAGGCTAAAAGATATTTGTAGTCTGTATTTCTTATTTTAGGATTTAGAGGCCTTAATAATTCTTAGTGGAAAATGTCTTATATTTTAATTGAATTTTGAAATTTTATTGATTTGTCATGTTGGATTATTAACTATTTATAGGAAAATGCTATCCCATTTTGTCATATGGTATTGTTAATATTTAACAGATTTCATGGCCAAAAGAGAAGCTCTGTAGTTATTTTGTGAATTTATGACCCTTTAATTAGCTAATCCTAATAACTCCTATGTTTTATATTTATAGATATGTACAGATGTGGAGAATTACAAAGATAGAAAAACATTTTTCTTTTTTTTATTTTCTAATTTTGGTGAAAATTATTTTTAGAAGATTTATTATATTTTATTTTTAGAGAGAGGGAGTGACTGAGCATGTGCAAGAGTGGGGGCGGGAGGCAAAGGGAGAGGTAGGTAATCTTCAGCAGACTGCCTCTGAGCATGGAGCCTGACACAGAGCTTAATCCCATGACCTTGAGATCATAACCTGAGCTGAGCTCAAGAGTTAGATGCTTAACTGGCTAAGCCACCCAGGTGCCCCCAAAAGAATTATCTTTATAAATTAAAATAACTCATGAATTAGCAGGTGTTTTTCTAAACTATCTCACAACTTTCTGTCAGCTTTATTATTAGCTTTGGATACTTGTGTAATTAAAATAATTGCAAGAAATTTTGTATTGGTAGGATGTTTGGTTGAAATTTTGAAACTTATTTATGCTTTTCCTTTGGCAATGCCTAGTTTCCTACTATAGATGAGACCAATCTTTGAGCATCCAAAATTGTACTATTCAATGATAAATAATTTCTTTGATGTTATTTTATATTAGAATGATTGTAAATGTATTTTTCATCTAACTTTTAAATCTTCCTTCAATTGAATGTTGTATATTAAGGAATAACTTAAAATATCTTTAATGGATTATTTATTTGTAATAATTCATTCTGATATTGAAATTAAATCGCTCTTATTATCAGATAAACAGATGCATAAGGTGATTTTTCTCATAACAGAGCAATATATTAAGAGATGTTTGGATAAGGAATTCTTCTAGAACTGTGAAGTTCTGTGTGTGTTTCTTAGCATTATCTTAGGTGTTGTGGGAACACATACAAGATATAAAATATCATGCTCTTGAGAAATCCCTTGTTATTGTGGGAGAAATGTTGAACACATAAAATCATTAGAACAGTGTTTCCAAAATGTGGGGATGAGCAAGACTTCTGTTAGGATAAGGGAAGGAAATATTGTAACTTTTTAAATTTTATGCTTTTCATATGTTTTATAATGAATATCATAAGACACATTTATATTAAAATTTATATGATTTATGAATAATATATTTGTGTTTCATACATATTTGTGTATTTGGGGTGAATGCTCACAGATTTGTTATTGCTGGAGATATGTTAATGCTGATGACAAGAGGAAGCCAAAGGTATCAGTGTGGTCTGCAGAACTGGAAAAGACTTTATAGAAGAGGTAGATTTTAAAAGTAGTCTTTAAGGTATAAAGAGGCTTTGGGTAGTTGTAGAGAATGGTGGTGGAACGTGGAAAGCATTATGTGTAGGAGAGCAGCATAACTGACATAAGTGCTCAGCATTAGCTTGGTTGAAAGTATAGTTCTCAAAATTAGAATCTTGGATGATAGGGGCGCCTGGGTGGTTCAGTGGGTTAAAGCCTCTGCCTTTGGCTCAGGTCGTAATCCCAGAGTCCTGGGATTGAGCCCCGCATCAGGCTTTCTGCTCAGTAGGGAGCCTGCTTCCCTTCCTCTCTCTGCCTGCCTCTCTGCCTACCTGTGATCTCTGTCTGTCAAATAAATAAAATCTTAAAAAAAAGAATCTTGGATGATATTCTTTTCTCTTTTTTTCTCCCTTATCTTTCATTTCTAATTGGTTATCCAGTGCTGCTGTTTCTAACTTTTAATATCTAGCTCATAAAATCTAACTAATGTAACTTTATCTTTTGAATCATTCCTTTTTTCTTCATCTCCACAGACCTAGAACAGTTTTAGCCCTTATTTCTTCTTTCTTGGTTTTAGGATTCCAGCACATTCTCTTAGTCTACCAGAGGGATGCACGTGAGTAATGTAATGGAACACAAATTGTATTTGGCAGATTAATCATCAAACCATGCTTCAGATCACCCTCATTTGTCTTCATCTTTGTTCATCCCTTGTTGTATTTAGTAGGATACAAACAAACTTTGACTTATTTTCATAAACTTTTTTCTTACTGCAATAGTTCTTATACTTATTGCTTTATTTCCCTATTACGCTTTGCATTCTTCCTCGATGGCACATTCTTAGACTTACCTCTTGGTTAGAATAGCCCTCCATCAGCCTCCATCATTCCCTCAGGAGTCTCAGTCATTGACTCATACTAAGACCACTTTTTTCCCTCCACAAATAAAGCCTGTTTTACCTCTTATATCTTGATATTAGGTCTGAACCACACACCTCTGACCAGTACTAATTGTATTAGTTTGAGAATCAGTATTTTTGTTTCTGGTCTTGTCTCTTTTTGATTCTCTGCACTGATGCTAGTGTGTTCCTTTAAAAATACAAATCTGATTATTCTGTGTTCTAAATTAAGAGTCATCTCATCACTTGAGTTCGAACTCTTTAAATATCACCTGTTTTATTGCTCACTTAAAGAGTAAAGTAGTGCATGCAAAGCAAATTAAAACCAACTGTAAACACAAAGTTTTTGTCAATTTTATTCTCGGTTTTTGACTTGGTACAGTTTGCTTTGCTTCTTCATATGTCTCCTCTCTTCAATTTAATCTGATGTTGCTCTAAACAGGTTTTACTCCTGTGGTCATTTTTCTGTATCTGTACCCATGTTTGTTTTTACTTTGTTATATAACAGATTCTCTCTCTAGTGTTTTGTATTGCTTCTTATTTGATTATTAGATTTAGACTTAGATGTTTATTCCTTGTTTAGCTTTGGACATTTAAGTAGGAACATTAAAGACATGGTCTTTGTGCTGATGATGAGATCTGTGCTTTATTTAGGAAGACATATAAAATAAATATTTGATTAAAAATGAGGATAAGTGTTATGAAGACAATGAAAATGAAACCATGTAAGAAAATAATAGGGCCTAATGTAGATTCGGTGATAAGGTATGACTGTTAGCTGACCTCATAAATAAGTGAGATTTAGTGAAGTAAAGGATATGAGTTGGAGAGAGCTTTTCAGTCAGAAGGAAACACATGTAGAAATGTTCTGAGTTGTAAAGGAGCTTGGTTAATTCAATGGACTGAATGAAAGCCTATGTGCCTGAATGTAAGAAGTGATATGAAAAGGGTAATAAGTATGAGCTGATAAGGACAAAATCAGGTAGGAACAAGGAAAGGGATTTTGATTTTATGCTAACCTTGAAGGAAAACCATTAAAAAATTTGAACTATTGAGATGACATGTTCTGGTTTATGTCTTTTAAAGGGTCGCTGCAACTTCTGTATGGCAGATAAATTTGATGGTGGGTGGGGATTGCTTATAGTGAGGAAAAAGGTAGAATTGGAGAAATTAGATTGGAAGCTATTTGAGTGGTACAGGCATGAGAGAATATCTTTTAAAAGTGGAATCATATCACACTTATGCTAGTAGCATTTGGTGAGCTCATGAATCTAAGGACATTTTGTCTGCCTTCAGCTCTGAAAATTTTTCTCTTATTTTTTCTTTTCTAGTGTCATCATTCTCTCTGTAAGTGCTGATAGGTGGATTTTAGAAATTTTGGCTCTATCCTTTGTATTTTATAATTTCTCAAAAAATTTTTTTTCTCTTTTAGTTCTTGGGTGGGGGATTTGGAGAACAATTTTTTTTTTTTTTACTTCTCCCTGCTAATTCAGTCTTTATTTTGTTATTTTTAAAGTTGTCAAATTTTGAATTTCTAAGAGCTTTAGGTGACTTATTTCATGGATCTTTACTCTGTTGGAACATACTATACTTAGCAAAATACCTACTTCTGTTTGCTTTATTAATTCCTTCTTGGATTTATTTTAGTTCTCTTAGATGAATTTGGTGCCTCTCTTATGGTTTTGCTTTTCTTCAGTAATTGTTGATTCTTGATTATTTACTTATCTAAATATTTGATTATATGGGGTGGGGTGGGGGGGACATAAAAGGTATTATAAAGAAAGGTGGGCTTGGTAGCTAATCTTTTGGGTTTAGGAAATGTCTATCTTGCTTAGAGATCATGAGCTATTTGGGGCATTGCTGCATCACTTTGCCTCCAATTCCTAAATCTTTGATTAAAATTGAGTTGCACTGTGTGGTGGAAGGTATGGTGTAGGTGTTTCACATAGCCTTCTTTGAATTAATGTTGGTCTTCCCTCTCCCTGCCAAAATTCTTCGACTTTTTGGTTTGTTCATGGTAGCCTGGTTTTATTAATGTTGTAAATATATATATTTTTTGTCTTTTATAAAGGGATTGGGGGTAAAAGAATGTGGAGACATGCTCAGTCTACTGTCTTTAATCAGTCCTTGAGTTTGAAAAAATAAACTCTTTTTACCTAAAATGAAATGTTGTGGTTAAATAAGCTTTGCTTGTGACAGGTTTTTCTTTGAGAATATGTGGTGGGATTTTATATTTTGTTGATCTTTTCCTTAAAAACTATGGGCAATTATTATAAATTTTGTGTTTATTTTTAATGTACAGAGTCTGGGAAACTTTCAGCAAATCTCTTATATCTCCAGTTATTAAAAACCCTTAACAGTAAGGAAGGACAGTGTTTCAGATAGAATAAAATTTTAGGTGACAGCTAGACAATTTTGGAATTTTGTAGGCAGTTAAAAAAAATCTAAGGAAGGAGAAAAAAGCAGGAGGTTTGAGTTGGAAATGTTCTAAAATTAATTAGCCTAATACTGAATTAATAGAAGATAGAAAGAAAAGCATTGTAGAGTGTTATTTAGGATAGAAAAAAAGAAGGGTGTCAGCAATGAAAATAGGAACAAGAGTTAGGACAGGAAATGCAAATAATGCAAAGTCTTGAAAATCAAAGGGAGAAAAGTAGAGTAGTTTAATAGCATCAAATGCCAGAAAGCTCCAGAATAAAGAAGACTGAGAATTTTACCACAAAATGGTTATTGGTGATCTTTGAGATCATAGTTTGGTTGATGTAACAAGAGATGTAATTAATGTAATGAGATAGGCATTAGTTTTGCGTGGAGCTAAAAAAGAAATGTATACATAACAAACACAAGTTTGTCTGCAAAGTAAGAAATTTGACAGTAGTATGAAAGGACAGACAGGTCAATCAGATATTGTTTTGTATTCAAATAGATGTTTATAAGGGAAATTAAAAGTTTCCTGTAAGAGAGTCCATGTATATCGGTAACATAGCGAATTAAAATCTCAGAGGAGGTAGGAATATTGAGGTCCAGAGTACAATGGTCAGAATTAGCTTGAGAAAAGTGGATCACTTCTCCTTTTTAATTTGGAGCAAAGATTAAAAAGTAAGATACTTAGTGATGCAGTAAAGGTAAAGCCATGTGCTATGTAACCTCATTCCGAATATATTTTATATAGCTCCATTGCTTATTTTGGTTAATGAACTTGAGTTCTTTTGGTTGTGGAATTCTACTTTCTAGAAACATTACTATTAATATTTATCATTTTTGCATAGTCCCATTTAGACGTCCTCTATGCTTTATGGTAGTTTAGTTTCATTAAACCATCTCTGGTTTTTTCCCTTTAAAATGATGATATTCTTATTTCTTGCCTCTTCTTTCCTGTTCTTTTAATCTGATTTTTAATACCTTTTTATTCTTTTGTTTATTTTAGAAGAGATGACTAAGCTTAAAAATAACAAAGAACTAGAACTTGAAGAATTGAAAAAAATCTTGGTAAGTACATAATTTCTCTTATTAGTATAGAGCAGTTACTTTTCAAAATAATATTGAATCCACAGACTTAGACTCTCACACTATAAATGTTTTATATTAGTGTTTTCAGCTAAAATATAAAAAATACATTTGTGTTTTAATAAAGCCACATTCTTATCATACCAAATTTAATATATTTTGAAAATTTTCTTGATGAAGGTGTTTCTATTATTTGTGTGTTGGCAGTACATTTAAGTAAGATCAAGTATGTGTGTGATGTTATTGATTTATTGATAGTAAATTTGGTATGCTTGTGAAAACTTTGAGCCAAAAAGCTACAGTTTTGGGGAAGATTTATATGTTATATATTCAGTAACTATGTTTAGTGTTCAGATAGAATCATGTTTAATGAATTTGTTAGGATAGGTTTTTTTATTTTTTTAAGATTTTATTTATGTATTTGTCAGAGAGAGACAGAGAACACAAGCACAGGGAAAGGCAAGGAAGCTGGCTCCCTGCTGAGCAAGGAGCCTGATGCAGGACTTGATCCCAGGACCCTGGGATAATGATCTGAGCAGATGGCAAACGCTTAACCGACTGAGCCACCCAGGCGTCCCTAGGATAGGCTTAATTATGTTTTAATTGTTTACAACATGTGGAGCATGGACAACAAACTTTTTTAAAGGACTAGAGAGTAAATATTTTAGTCTTTGTAGCCTATATACAGAATGTTAATTCTCTTCTCCTCCTCCTCCTATTTCCACACCTTCCCTGCCCCTTCTTGTCCTCTGCTTCTCTTTATTTTTAGCAGCCTTGTAAAAATGTCAAAAATGTAAAAATTATTCTTAGATCAAGGGCCTACAAAAAGCAATTGTAGGTTGATTTTACCTAGCAGGCTGTAGTTTGTTTATAATTACAGATACTATTGTATCTCTACCTGGTTTTGCAACTCCTAATTCTTCCATCTCTTGGGCATCATTATTTCCAAATTCTTTCTCCATTGAATTGCTTTGCTTCAACTCTTGTGAATAATAATGTTCACATTGCTTTCAGATTTGATAATGCATACTTATTTATTGTTGTTGTTGTTATAGTTTAAGTCTCTACTTGAATATCAGTTTGGTAACCTCTTTTGATATTATCTATAAACCTCTATTATCTAGTTTAGGTCTCTGTATGGCTTGTTCCTATAGCCACCTGAACTTTTCCTTTATAGCACTTAACACAAGTGGAATTAATTTATTTTTTTTGCATCATTGTTTAAAACTTTATTCACCTTTCTGAATTCCCCTTACTTAGCACAGTAGGTGGTATATAGTAGGTCCTCAGTAAATAGTGGAATGAAGGTATGCTCCCATAAGGGCTAAGAACCCATGTCCTATTTTCCTTGTAGCTTTAGTACTTGCTTAGCACAGTGACTGACACTTTATAAATATTTGTTGAATGAATGAATAGTAAGCATTATTTTTACTATAAAGATTCACTCCTATGCAGATAAGGATTGGTTTAGGGTTTTGTTATATTTGGACAGCAATAGAACACAATTATTGGGGTGCCTGGGTGGCTCAATGGGTTAAGCCCCTGTCTTCTGCTCGGGTCGTGATCTCAGGGTCCTGGGATTGAGCCCCTCGTCAGGCTCTCTGCTCAGCAGGGAGCCTGCTTCCCCCTCCCTCTCTCTGCCTGCCTCTCTGCCTACTTGTGATCTCTGCCAAATAAAATAAAATAAAATTTAAAAAAAAATTTTTAAAAACCACAATTATCTTGGTCTTTAAAAGGACAGTTTTAAAGACTTTAAAGTCTTTAAAGTTTTAACGTTTTAAAGTCTTTAAAGTCTTTAAAAGTTTTAAAGTCTTTAAAACTTTAAAGTCTTTAAAAAGATAGTTTTAAAGACAATATTGTTTTAAAAGACAATGTTTCAATTGCTATCCAACTCTTTACTTCTTAGCTATATGACTGAGAGCAAATTAACTAAACTCTCGATGCCTTAGTTTTCCATCTATGAAATAGGGAAAATAATTATATATATGTAATGGGGTAGTTGTAAGAAATAAATAAAACAATATATTTGCCCATTTAACAAACATATTTTGAGTTTCTCTTCTGTACCCTGAGGGTACAGTTGGGAGCAAATGGTTGCATATGCTGCTTTCATGTATCTATGTCATGAAATATCACACTTAAATATAAGCAGTTATTCAAAGGTAATATTAAAATGGTGACAAAGGCAATAAAGGAAAGTGCTAATAAAGGCAGAGGTATGAGGTATGAGGTCTTAAAGGGACTTGAACTAGTTGGTTAGGTCAGAAGAGCCTTTTTTTTTTTTTTAAAGTAAAACTTGAACTGAAATTCAGATTAGGAAGGGGGAAGAGCTTATCAGGTAGAGGACATATGTGTAAAGTTCCTTTGATAGGAAGGAATATGGTTTGTGTAATGTGGAGTGAACGGAGAGTAGTACAAAATGAGGCTAGAGAGTTAAGGTACTAGAGGCATGGTAATTCATGGCCTTGTGAATCCTATCAAGATGATTTTAGGGATCCCTGAGTGGCTCAGTCAATTAAGCAGCTACCTTTGGCTCAGGTCATGATCCCAGGGTCCTGGAATGAGTCCTACATCGGGCTTCCTGCTGAGGGGAGAGCCTGCTTCTCCTTCTCCCTCTGCCTGCTGTTACCTCTGCTTGTGCTCTCTCTGTCAGATAAATAAAATCTTAAAAAAAAAAAAAAGATAATTTTATATTTATTTTAAGAGGAATGGGAAGTTCTAAAGAATTTCAGTAGGGAGTGACTTGGTTTGTGTTTTGAAAAGCTCATTTGGCTTGGAATATTGAGAACAGTATATTAAGGTAGAACAGTTAAGTACACAAAGGAGAGATGATTATAGCTTAGGCTGGGAGGTGATGGTGAGAAAAAAATGGATGGTTTTGAGAAATATTTAAGATTTAAAGATTTAAATACTTTGGATTGATCTAGGGGGATATTACCATTTGTTGAAAAGATTCCTTTTTCCATTGAGTTGCTTTTGCACATTTTTAAAAATCAATTGGTCATATTTGTGTGGCTCTGTTTCTGGACTATTTTTTTTCTTGATCTATTTGTTATCAATTCACCAATGTATCAGCATCTTAATTACTATAGCTTTATGATTGATCTTAGATTTGGGTAGTTTGATTCTTCCAGCTTTATTATTAAAAAGTTTTTAGCTATTCTAATTCCTTTATCATATAGAATTTCAGCTTGTCTGTGTCTGAGAAAATCCTGCCAGAATTAAGATATAATTGTGAGAAATCTATAGATCAAGTTAAGTTGAATTGCTGTAATTACTTATGTTGAGTCTTCTAACACAGGAACATGGTATCAATTTGTCCATTTGTATAGATCTTCCTTGAATCTTTAATTAGCATTTTGTAGTTTTCAGTGTACAGATCTGTACATGTTATATTTGTACCTAAATATTTCCTTTCTTGAAGGTGTTTTAAATGTACTTAAAAGTATTTTTCCAGTTGTACATTGCTGTAGATAGGAATATGATTGCTTTATGCACTGACCTTGTATCCTGCAGTCTCACTAAAATCATTTATTAGTTCTAGGAGTTTTTTGCACATTTCTTATCATTTTCTATGTAGAGAGTCATTTTGTCTGCGAATAAGGACAATTGTAGTTCTTTTATTTTTGTCTAACTGCACTGGATCAGACTTCTAATATGATGTTCTTGAATAGGAGTAGTGAACATGTACATCTTTGTTTTGATCTTAAGGAAAAAACATGCAGTGTTTCACCATTAAGTATGTTAATTATAGGAGTTTCTTTTGTAGAAGTGCCCTTGCCTTCCTAGTTTTTTGACCGTTTTTTTGATTATGAATCTGTTGAATTTTGTCAAATGCTTTTTCTATGTCTACTGATACAATCATGTAGTTTTCTTTTTTAGAATATTAATATGGTGTAGTACATTGATTTTCAAATATTGAACTAGCCTTGCGTTCTTGTATAAATCCCAGTTGGTGTGGTATATTTTTCTTTTTCTTTATTGTTGAATTTGTTTTGTTAATATTTTGTTGATTTTTAATTTAGGGTTCATGGGAAGTCTATAGTTTTCTTCAATTGTCTTTGTCTGGTTTTAGAATTAGGCTGTTCTTGACCTCAGAAAATGAGTTGGGAAGCATTTCTTTCATTTCTGTGTTCTGGAAGAGATTGTGTAGAGTTAGTATTATTTCTTCCTTAAACATTTAGTAGAATTTTCTGGGTGAAATCATCTGAACTTAGAGACTCTTTTTTGGCAAGATTGTATTTGTTTGTTTGTTTGTTTATTTATTAAAGATTTTATTTATTTATTTGAGAGAGAGAGCGAGCAAGCAAGAGGGCACAAGCATAGGGAGCAGCAGAGAGAGAGAGAGAAGCAGGCTCCCCACTGAACAGGGAGCCTGATGCAGGGCTGGATCCTGGGACTTCAGGATCATGACCTGAGCTGAAGGCAGACACTTAACTGACTGAGCCACCCATGTGCCCCTTGGCAAGATTTTAAATGATGACTCTAATGTCTTTCATTATTGTGGAACTATTCAGTTTACCTATTTTATCTTAGATGATTTTGGTAGTTTGTGATTTTTAAGCAATCAGTCCCATTTCATTGAAGTTGTCAACTTTCTGTGCATGGAGTTATATGTACCATTACTTGGATTTTTTTTTTTTTAATGTCTCTGGAGTTTACAGTGTTTGCCTTTACTTTCATTACTAATATTGGCGATTTGTGTCTTCTTTCTTCTTTACAGTCTTGATAGAGGTTTATTAATTTTTAAAATTTTTTTAATTTTATTTTTTAAACTTTTATTTAGTTTTTAAATTTCTTTTGAGTGTTCCAGAATTCATTGTTTATGCACCACACCGCACCCAGTGCTCCAATACAAAGTTTATTAATTTTACTGATTTTTTTCAAATAACCGGATTTCTGTTTTGTTGATTTTTCCTGTTTTTCTATTTCCAGTTTCATTGATTTCTTCTCTTTATTATTTCCTTCCTTCTACTTGCTTT